AAAAAAAAAAAAAAAAGAAACCAAGGTCTGGGTACAAGTCACTGGAGAGATTTGAACAGAAGAGAGATACACTCTGATTTAGGTTTGGTTTTTTTTTCAGATTTATTGAGATATTTTCACTTATAAAATGTACCCATTTGAAGTTTATATTTCAATTCAATGCTAGTATAGTCACAGAGTTGTGTGCAAATATTGCCACAATTTAGAACATTTTGATCACCAATTATGAGTTTATATCACATTTATCAGTTGATGGACATAACATGTTATTTCTACCTTTGTTTGTTTTTTTTGTTTTTTTTGATACTTTTATTAATTGAAATGAAAATCATACACTACAGAATTCACCCTTTTAGTGTATGCAGTCTAATGGTTTTAGTGTGTTCAAAGTACTGTGCAAAGATCACCCCTAATTCCAGAATATGTTCATCACCCCAAAATAAATCCCGTTATCAGCCATTCCTAATGTCCTCCTTTTTCTTCCCTTGGCAACTACTGATCTACACTTTATTTCTATGGCTTTACTTACTCTGGACATTTCATATAAATGGAATTATATACTATATCGCCATTTTTGTTTGGCTTTTTTAACTTAACATAATGCTTTCAAGGTTCATCCATATTATAGCATGACTCAGTACTCATTCTTTTTTTCCCTAACTTTATTGAGGTATAATTGACAAATAAAAAATCGTATATATTTAAGGTGTGCAGTGTGATGCTTTGATATACATATATCAAAACTGCACATATACAATGTGCAATGATTACTGCAATCAAGCTAATTAATATGTACATCACTTCACATGGTTACCTTTTTTTCTTCATGATGGGAAGACTTAAGATCTACTCTCTTAGCAAATTTCAAATATACATCATTATTAACTATAGTCACCAAACTGTTTACCATACTGAACTTATTCACCTTATAACTGAAAGTCTGTACCTTTTTACCAACATCTCCCCATTTCCCCACCCTCTGACCCCTGGTAATCACCTTTCTCTTCTGTTTCTATGAGTTTGACTTTTTAAGATTCCACATATAAATGAGATCATACAATATTTGTCTTTCTGTGTCTGGCTTATTTAATGTATCATAGTCTTTTGGGTCCATCCATGTTGTCATAAATGGCAGGATTTCCTTCTTCTTTAAGGCTGAATAATATTCCATTGTGTATGTGTATTTGTGTGTACATGGATATGCATGTCATGTCACTAATTAGCATTCTTTTATTTCAGCTTAAAGAACTCCCTTTAACATTTCTAATAAGGCAAGTCTAGTGGTAATGAACTTCCTTGGATTTTGTTTGTATGGAAAAGCTATCGCTCCTTCATTTATGGAAGGAAACTTTGCTAAGTCAAGTATCCTTGATTGGCATTTGTTTTTTTCTTTTCAGCACTTTGAATACATCCTTCCACTCTCTTCTGGCCTATATGGTTTCTGCTGAGAAATCTGCTGATGGGTTTATATGGGTTCCTTTGTATGAAATAAGCCTCTTTCCTCCTGCTGCTTCTAAAATTCTTTGTCTTTCATTTTTAACGGTTTGATTGTAGTGTCTTGGTGAGCTCTTCTTAGGGTTGAAAGTTACTGGAGACTTTTAAACTTCATGTATCTGTATGTTTATGTTTCCCCAGATTTGGGAGTTTCCAGACACTATTTCTTTAAATAAGCTTTCTGCCCCTTCTTCACCTACTCTCTTTCACCTTCCCAAACCTGGGATGGAACTGTTAGCTCTCTTGACAACGGCACATAAATTCTGTAGGCTTTCTACGTTCCTTTTCATTCCTTTTCTTTTTTCTCTTCGGACTGGATATTTCCAAACAGCCTGTCTGCGAGCTCTCCGGGAGCGCCGTGGCGCGGCTCCGGCGTGGCCGCCCGCGGTCGCAGCGCCTCCCCCGCGGCTTCCCGCCCGGCGCCCGGCGGGCTGCGCCTGGGACACGCAGGCCTCGGGCGGCACTCTCCCTCGCTCCCCGGAGAGATCGCGCCTCCCTTGGCCCTGTGGGCTGCCTTGAGAGACATGTGATATGGTAAAACCTGTCCCTCTTCCCTGCAAGGCACCTGCTCTTGGTCTCTGCTTGAGTGGTGTGCCCAAACTGCTCCGCTGGACGCCCACCGGCAGTACTTGTCAAAATCCATGCTTCCGCAGGGAGATGATGGCAGAAAATTCCCATTTCACCACCTTGCTGACATCATTTCTTATTTACATTTTTAAGGGATCAGTCTCAATGATGGGTTTTCAATAGCTATATGGAGATGATTGTTGTAATAATTCAGACTCTTTGACTTTAATCTAGAAAAATTTTCAGTGACATAATCACTATGCATTTCCTCAGGTTGCCTTTTCGTAAACCTCCACACAGACCACAGCTGTTCTTTATTATCAAACTTTTGTTGAGCTCATTGCATCCCTGGCACTGTGCTATCTGCTGCACATGCAGATATGAAAAAGAATTTTCCTTCTTGGATGTCACAGTTTAATATAACAGGTGCAACACAGTGTGATAAGCACTGGAGTAAAGATTTGTAAAAGGAAAAATGTTAGTGCAAAAGAGGAAATAACTATTTTTATCTGAAGACAGAGAAAGCAGGACATAATGTTAAGAGTACAGTTTTGGAGTCATATTTATAAGGTCAAAATCTTGTTCTGCCACAGATTAGCTAATGATTCAGAATCTTTAACCCTCAATTCTCTTACCTGCAGGCGATGACAGCACCCACTAGGGTAGAGACTATGTTTCACGCACCACATGGTTTCATTTCATCCCAAGCACAAGGAAACTACATTTCCTGGTTCTCCTGAAACTAGAAGAGACCATGTATTAGACTTGGGGCCAATAGAATTGGGGGAAATAGTGAGATATCACTTAGAGTCTTGGCCCCTGAAACATCTGTGTGATCCTCTGCACACTCTCTCCTAGAGCAAAAGACTCCAGGATAACAGAGACACGTCATGAAAGGACCCAGTGCTCAGCTGCTTAAAGACAAGCTGCCCAAGACAGCTGCCCAGGCAGGAACATGTGCATGAGACGCTGCACCAGACAAGAAATAAATGGTCTCCTTGCAATTCTGATACTGCTTATTCCAACAGTTGGCCTGTCCCAATTAATCTACCACTGCTAAGGTTGCCGGGACACTTACGTGAGTTAAACAGTCCATAACAGTCCAGAGCCATTATTATGTCTATCACCGCCATGACAGAGGGAACGCATTATGGAGTTGGGACCTGAGGGGATTTGCTGGGTGGATGGAAGGTAACAGGAGTCAACTTTGAGAAGAGGGAAAAATGAAAAGTAAAGAAAAGAAGAGAGAGAAAGTGATAGTGTAAAAAAAAAATCTCTTTTAATCAAGAAAACAATCTAAAGTGGTCACAGTAAGAGCTGCCCAGTAGGGCGGAGCAGCTGCCCTGCCCGCAGTGCCTGGTGGCATCTGCCAGGCTGGCCGGTATCTCCGCCCCGTCTGTCCCAGATCCAGACGAGGAAACAAGAGGACTGACTTTTCCATTCGCTTTAACCCGAGGGAAAGCTTCTTCCTGGACGATTGTTTCTGCTACTTGGAATGTATTTCTTTTCCCACCTTCGGGTCACAAGAACAGTCATAATGGACTGTAGGAAATGAAAGAGAGCAGAGAGCTCCACAAAGGAGAGGCCAACCAAACAAAGGACAGAAACCTTCTTTGTCTCTTTGGGTTGTGAAGGAACAAAGGACAAATGTGTGGAATAGGGACAGAAAAGCTGCAAAGGACACTTTAATGCCCCTTCTGAGCAACAGGCATTTCCCTGGGCGGAGGGGTCCAACCTCGGCCATGCAGTAGTTTCTGTCTGTGCGCAGCCAGCCGGCTGGCCTGGAGACCGAGGCGCGGTGACCTTCTCGCCACGGGCCCAGCACTGGCTGAGAGGCCGCGTGGAGAAGAGGCCTGGAGCTTAAAAGGCAACTACTGTGTATCTCTGTTAAACTGACTCAAGTTGGCTTAGCCAGAGAGCAATTGTCCCGGGCCCCTGTAGATGTTGTTGAGCTTTGGGGGTGGCTAAGTTACAGCCTTTGCTAATGAGATGAAAAGTGACCACCTCCACAACTGGAAATTGACTAGCTAACCAGACCGAATCAACCTTATTTATTATGGAAATCTTATCAAACAAAAAACCACTAATGGAAAAAAATATAGTAATAGGTGATTCCAGGCAAAGGGATCACCAGGGACTGAAAAACAAGAAACAACTAAAACAAAGAAAAGTAGGTTTGAAAAAATAAAAATTAGATGCATGTGAAATTTGTGAAACCTTTACAGTGAAATAGTCCAGCTCCAAAAATTCTTCTGTTCAAGTCCTCCCCTGTCACCTGCTGGCCTTGGTATTTTCCCAGATTTACTATCTACCAGTAAGCATTTGGAAGCAATGCTTCCTGCTGAAGGAACCACTTTAACCAAACCTGACTACAATACAAGCTTCTAAAAAAGCTTGTGTGTATAAATGAAAGTGCATTAGCCCATCGTGCCCTTTTCCTGGAAAGGAAATCATGTCTACTTACGTGTATCTGTAAATCAAAACCTACTCGTCTACGGTTCTTGCAGACCTGATGAAACAAGCCCAGGCTGGCTTGGTTTGAATGAGGGCTGAGCACACAAAGAGACCTATTCACACCTCTGGATTTCAAGAGAATCATATGGTCCAACCAAGGTCAACAAGATGATTGCAGCCTGATTTCAAGGTTAGTTTTTAAAGGTACATTTCACAACTAATGCTGGAAGTGTTTTTTCCCTCCTTTAAAACCAACACTCAGAGATAAGAAAACAAGCATAAGAGGAAATGTCAAATCTGATTGGTGGTAATATTACATTAAGATATGCAATTTGTATTATCTAGTGAATTGGCTGTAAAGTCTTTTTAAAAAGCCTCCTCCTCGAGCCCAGGAGTTTGGGGTTGCAGTGAACTATGATCACACCGCTGCACTCCAGCCTGGGTGAGACCCTGTCTCTGGAAAAAAAAAAAAAAAGCAAGCAAACAAACAACAACAAAAAAAGCCTCCTATACTATGGGACAAGATGAACAATGGCCTGCCTGAGACTGAGTTCCTCTGGGCTCTGTGGGGAAGGTGGCAAGAAAGTGAGGGGCAGAATTCACTGTGGAAGGACACTGCCTTACTGTGCAGAAAAACGCCCCCCAGGTAGTCTCCAGGAACTGCCCTCAGAAGAGTAGATGCAAAGAGCCTCGAGTGCGGCGACAGCTCCCAGTCTTGCTTCCCGGGTGACTAATCTTTCCTGGTTATGTGATGAGGTCCTAGGACCAGGGTCTTAAGACAATTGCTTCTCTTTTGGAAAGAAATTATCTTAGTCAGATACGGAAATTCCAGATTCCAGGTGCCTGGGGAAAGAAAGAGGGCCAAAACACAGGCATGACGGAGAGTCGGGGAGACCCGATTCTGAGGCCTTTCTATTTTCTTTGCTTCAAAGCTACAAACCACTGTATTATTTTCTGTGCCAACAACAGTGCAAATGAAAAGGGCCATGCTAAATCAAGAAGTGTCTTCTGTGTTCCAGGATTCTCGGGGCCTTTTCACAAGGCCGTGTTTGTCAGCGATCTCTCAGAGAAGGCCTCTCCTCGTGCCCGGCGTGTCTGCCGGCGGCGGGAGCCAGGGCGCTGTGCGGCCGGACACCCTCTGCCACACGCTGGTCTTGCGGTCAGATTTTCAACGCAATTTTTTCAGGGTTTGCAAGTGAATTCATCCACCAAGCTTCCCCCTTCTGCAAAGAAGCCGTGTGGCGGGGTGCCTGAAGGGAGGTGACAGGCTGAGAGAGGGAAGGAGAGGACTGGGGTGCCCGGGGTAGATCTAACCTCTCGCAGCCTCAGGCTTCCAATCTGAGGTCTAGGGACGCCGATGCGGCCTCCCGGTGCGGCCTCCCGGCGCGGCCTCCCGGCGCGGCCTCCCGGTGCCGCCTCCCGGTTTGGCCTCCCGGTGCCGCCTCCTGGCTCCTGGTGCTGCCTCCCGGTGCCGCCTCCCGGCGCGGCCTCCCGGTGCGGCCTCCCAGTGCCGCCTCCCGGTGCCGCCTCCCGGTGCCGCCTGCCCCCGGGCGCTGCCTTCCAGAGCCTCGGAGACCACGGGGCGTGTGGGCGGTGGAGGCTGCGTGGGCAGTGGTCACTGTCGCCCGTTAACCTGTCACCGCTTAGAATAAGGAGCGTGATTTATTGAAACCTTAAAACCTGTACCCCATAATATGCCGAAATAAAAAAAAAGAGAGAGAGAATAAGGAGCGTGGCCTTGGGAAACTTTGAAATCTAGAGCAGCCCTATTTCTTTCTATACACAGGAATAAAGGTTCTACTCTGCCAGATTGTTGAGATGCTACAAACCCCAGCGTGTGCCAGGCACTGGCGACCTTTCAACGCGCGAAGTGGGACAGTTTTCCTGCGCCCGCCTCGCGCAGCCCGCGCCCTTCCACTCGCGCCCGCGCCGCTTCCACTCGCGCCGCCGCCTTCCACTCCGCCGCCGCTTCCCACTCGCGCCTTCACTCCGCCCGCCCTTCACTCGCCGCGCGCCCTTCACTCCGCCCCGCTTCCATCCGCCTTTCTCGCCGCGCGCCTTCCACTCGCGGCCGCACTTCCACTCCCGCCTCCATTCCACGTCGCGCCGCGCCTTCCACTCCGCGCGCGCCCTTCCACTCCGCCGCTTCCACTCGCGCGCGCCTTCATCGGCCAGTTTCCGCCCTTCCACTCCGCCGCCGGCGCCCTTCCATCGCGCCGGGCGCCTTCCACTCCCGCCGCGCTTCCACCCCGCTTCCATCGCCTCGCCTTCCACTCCGCAGCCGCGCCTTCCCATCGCGCCCCGCCCTTCCACTCCCGCCGCCCTTCCACTCGCCCCGCCTTCCAATTGCCGCCCGCCGCCTTCCACCGCCCGCTTCCACTCCGCCGCGCCTTCCATCGCGCACGCCTTCCATTCGCGCCGCGCCCTTCACTCGCGGCCGCCTTCCACCGCGCCGCGCCTTCCACTCCGCCGCCTTCACTGGCCGCGCTCCACTCGCGCCCGCGCCCCTTCACACTCCGCCGCCTTCCCCTTCGCGCCGCGCCCTTCCACTCGCGGCCCCGCCTTCCATCGCGCCCGCGCTTCATCCGCCCGCCCTTCCACGCGCCGCGCGCTTCCACTCCGGCGCCTTCCACTCGCAGCCGCGCCTTTTCCACTTCGCGCGCGCCTTCCACTCCGCCGCTTCCACTCGCGCCGCCCTTCCACTCCGCCGCCCCTTCCACTCGCGCCCCGCCCCAGTTTTCTTTGTTTCCTTCGTTTCCACTCGCCGCCTTCCACCTCGCGCCGCGCACTTCCACTCGCGCCGCATTCACTCCAGCCCGCCTTCCACTCGGCCGGCCGCCGCTTCCACTCGGGCCCGGCGCACCGCGCCTTCACGGCCCCGCCCTTCCTCGCGGCCTTCCACCGCGCGCCTTCCACCTGCCGGCGCCTTCCACTCCGCGCCCGCCTTCCACTCGCGCCTGCCTTCACTCGCAAGCACCGCGCCCCTCCACTCAGCCGCGATCCTTCCACTCCCGCCGCGCCTTCCACATCGGCACTGGCCCCTTCACTCCGCCGCGCTTCCACTCCGCCTGCGCCTTCACTCAGCGCGGCGCCTTCCACTCCGCCCAGCCTTCCACTCGCGCGCCTTCATCCCGCGCCTTCACTCGCGGCGCGCCTTCACTCGCGCCCGCGCCCCTTCCACTCCCGCCCGCGCCCCTTCCACTCCCGCCCGCGCCCCTTCCACTCGCGCCCGCGCCCCTTCCACTCGCGCCCCCGCCCCTTCCACTCGCGCCCGCGCCCGAGGCGCGACGGCAGGTTCCAAGGGCAACGGCAGTCACTCTCCTCACTCCTTCCTTTACCTTCTGTTAACATTCGGGCTGATGCCTTTCTCCTGGGTGGGAAAAGCTCGTCATCGGGACGCACAGTGCGGTGAGCAGCCGTTGGGCCAGCGCCCATTTATTCTCAGGGTGCCCGTTACAGAGCACACCCGGGCTGGGCCCTGCCCGGCGCGCTCCACGGCCGCGCGCTGCGCCCTGTCCGCGGGCACCAGCCACGGCCGACGCGGTGCTGGGCGAGTCGGTGGACAGAGTGTCCGGCTCTGTGCCGCACAGAGAACCTGCCAGCACGCTGCAGAGCCGAATGTTCTAGGTGAGTGTTCATTCGTTTTCTCTCCAAAGCGGAACTACGGACCGGGCGGACCGCAGAGGCGAGGAACCGCGGCCGCTGTCGCCTGCGGGAGCGCGAGCGCGCCGGCCCGGGCTGCGGCCCCGACGCGAAGCCTGCGGAAACCGGCGTCCGGCGGCTTCCTGCGGCACGTGCCCGCGTGCACTCCCGTGCAGGGCACGTGAACTAAGGGTCTAAGCAGTTTTTCTTTCTAAAATTCCAATAGACTCTAACTTGTAGGTTTTATAGAGACATGCATATACTCTACATTGAGTGCTGTATTTTATCTTGTGATTTTGCCATGCAGCGAAGACTTCCTATGGATAGCAACCAAGTGCGTTTGTTGCACGTGAAATAAAACCACGTGAAAAGTTCATATAATGTTTTACACATTGCCCAGCACGTGGTGAGGGCCAGATAACAGGCAGCATGGTTAATGCAGTTATATAATCTCGTGGAAACATTTATTCTTTGTATCTCCCACTTACTAGAGTTCTGAATTTAAATCAAACTCAGATTTAGCATGCTCCTTCAGTAGCAGAAATGGAAGAAGAAGAGACGGGCAGTGGGAAGCCGCCTATCACAAGCCATCTCCGTCGGACCTTCCGCTGTTTGGGGCGCTCGGGGCCGGGGCTTCGCTATTTGACGTGCACCTGCTGCCCTCTAGTGACAGGGTGCGCGGCCTCGGCCGTGCGCGGTCTCATTAAAGGGAGAGATCCGCTCTTCTCAGCCAAGCCTGCCCCGGTTCACAGGAAGGGGAGAGGAAAGGGGAAGCTGGGAGGCAAGGGGGCGTGGGCCTTGGCAGTCTCAGCAGGCGTCCCTGGGTTTGCAACATAAGGGTCCTTAAATGCCTTTGAAGTTTCAGTTTTCTTTTAGAGAAAAGACACTTCCCTGCGTGAGAGCTGAGTTCTTGAAGGCCACCCCGGGCAAATCAGACCGACTGCCGGCACGCACAGGTCCTCTCCATGTGGGGCACCGGGGCGAGCAGGCAGCGCCCACCGGCTCCGCGGCGCCCGGCCAGATGGCATGCGGGCCGCGGGAGGGCGCAGGCCTCTCCAGGCCGGCAGAAGACCGACACCGCAGACACGCCGCTGTCCAGCGCCTTTCCTGCCGTCCAGTCCGTTCCTCGGCTGCGGCCCACTCTGTGGACGAGGCCGCCAGCCCCAGGGCAGAGGCCACACTGCCGTTCTCGACTTCTCCTCTCGAGCTGCGGCACCTGCCGAGCGGCACCTTCCGTCCCCAGCCCTGGGCACCACCGCCCAACGCCAGGTGGCGACTATTTCCCGCGGAGACGACTTCTGCGTCCTCCGAGTTGAGTCCCTGTCCCCGGCCATGCTCCTACTGCTACCGCCGCTATGAGCGCCCCGCCCCGCATCCTTTGTCACCTGGCGACCTTACAGAAAAGCGCGGGAACGTGAAATGACCCCGCCCCATTTCTTGGGCCCCGTCCTCGTTGCGCAGACACGGAACGCGCAGTTCCCGAGCGCGCCGCGCCCGCATCCAGCCGGGGTGCCGCAGGCGCTGCCCTCCATCGGAGAGCCCCGGCCATCTCGCAAGACCGTCAGACGTCGCCTCCGGGCGGCGTCCCCTGGCTCCCGATGGCTCCACCCGCGACCCGGCCCGACACGTCTCGTGGTGCTGCGGAGTCTCGTTACCGCGTGTCTGTCTCCGCCTTGACCTCCTGCAGGGCACAACTCCAGGCTTCCTTTCGTATGCCCCGGAGTCGGGTGGCATGTGGCAGCACACGTGCACACACCCGCGCTGCGTGCACCTCCCTGTGAGTGTGGGTGCAAGTCTATAAAATGTGCGATCTAAGATGTGTGTGTGTGATCTTGAAGGCCAGCTTCATTTTATCAGCATCTCACTAGTCAGAATGCACTTGGCGGCAGTGTGGAAGGAGCGTGAAACTCAGCATCTGACAAGGACAAGGTTTGAGTCTTCATACCGCCTCTTACTACCTGTGCCTGTGGGTGAGTAATTAACCTTTTTGAGCTTCATTTCCCATTTGCAAAATGGAGATAGTAGTACCTTCCATGCGAAGCGAAGACAGATGAGGTAGCGGATGTAAGGCGCCTGGGAGCGCCTGGAGTATGTGGGCACTCCTCAAATGGAGATTTTTCTAGCTCACCAGGTATCATCTGTCCATCTGATGCCCATCCGGTATCACCTGCTCTCGATCTGTCTCAAACATAATGCTGTCACCGTCCGGACTCCACATCTGTGGATTTGACCAACCATAAATCAAAACTGTACTTAGGCCTATAATGGTTCTGTCTTTACTGAACATGTACAGACTTTTTTTTTAAGAACTGCATTTATTTATTTTAGACATCCAGAATTTCTCACATTCTTGATAAATCCTTATGGGTCATTCATGAGTACAGACTTTTTTCTTGTCATTATTTCCTACACAATGCAGTATTTACATATCATTTACATCATATTAGGTATTATAATTAACCTACAGGGATTTAAAGTGTATGGAGGATGCGCTTAGGTTATATGCAAATACTAGGTCATTTTATAAAAGGGACTTAAGCATCCTCGGATTTTGGTATCCAGAGGGGATCCTGGAACTGATCCCTCATGGACACCACGGGACGACTGTATACATATGTATATGGTGAAGTGGATTTGAGCTTCCTGCAGGAACAGTGGAAACTCAGGAAATCCAGCTGTCTCTCTGACCTCATGCTGAATAGATCCATACTTTCCACCATGATTCCTTACACATTTTCACTTATATTTGGGATAGACTGATTGTTTTTTAATTAATGAACACTTATTCAAGGATCAGTTATTACTTCATGGAAAGATTTGTCTACCATTTCTTAGTTTCATGCCTAGAAGCAGGGAGAAAGTGTGTTTTTACTACTAGGTAATTTAGTCATTTTTCCCCTCTTACCTCCTATATATATATATACATATATATATATATATATATACTAGGGCCAAGTCAGCTGAAAAAATAAAATCGTACAAGCAAAGCACCACTTCATCATATTCCCTGAAACTCCTGCTGGCAGCACACATTTCATATACCCCAAATGGAGTGTTCTGAAAGAGACAGATGGATTTCAGCTCCCTCTAATTTACTGTCCTTTTTTCCATCATACCAGGTCATAAAACATTGCCTGGGTGGCTAGCTGTCTCACCATCCCGAGGCTGAAGCAAGCAACAAGGGAATGAAGGAGACATTAGTTGCCAACTCCCTGCTGACAAGAATACTTGCCTGCACTGTTTTAGTGCATTTAACATCAGCAAAAGA